GGGGCGTACGACACAAAGAGCAGACCTACCCATGAGCCGATGTTGGGGAACTCGTTTGTGTGGATGCCGTTCCACGTCTCGCACAGCGTCTGCACAGCCGGGGGGAGGTTCTGCATTACGCCCTGACCTGGAAGCCATTAGAAAATGCATCGGTATGCTGTCAAACAGACGCAGCAAGTGGAGTAGGGGGCCCCCTATAGGCGCACGTCTGCAGGACGCCTCACCAAGCACGTTGGCCTTGCAGCGGGTGGAGCCGATGGACAGCACGGCGGCGTAACCCTGTAGCTTGCGCTCCGGGGGTTTGCCCTCTGTGCCTTCTGGGAGGCTCATCAGCAGGTAGGACCTGCCACAAACAGACAAGCACTTCATATATCCTTGTCATTTTGGGGACTCCCCCTTCATTTCTATTCACATAACCACACAACCCTAACCGCTACCCAGCCCAAACCTTAACCATAAGTTACCAAACAAAAGACTTTTGACGTTTATTTTTTTTAACTGCAGTTACACATTTTTATAAAATTTAGGTTTATATTGGGGGACCTGAAAAAATATCACGGAGAATTTTGGTCCTCACAAGGTTGTAAATACAAACCCACAAAGTTGCAGATCACACTGTAGTTTTACATTCTACCATAACAGAAGGACCTCTGTGATATACATGGGCTGAGGGCCAGAAATGTCCCCTCGCTGTGACCTAGCCAGCATTAGCGTGATTTAGCACCTCAGGACTCACCTGGTGAAGGCTGTGTAGGTGTCAATCAGCTGGAGCGTGGCGGGGAGCAGGTTCTTCGTGATCTCCGACGACTTGTGCGGGTCCGTCTCCGCGGCCACCTTAGAGAAGTGCTCGTCCAGAGAGACCTGCACCTTGGAGATGACTGCGTCGAGGGTGTAGATGGTCTGCAGATTGGGCACGTGGTGGAGGGGTAGGATGGTGTTGGGGTCCACGCAGCAGAAAGAGGAGATCTACAGAGGGGAAACATACAGGTGCAATTCCTGGTACATCTAGAGAAAATGGCAGCCAAAGCAAAAGACAGGAAACAGGGCAGATGCTGAAGGGTAACATGGTTAGGTTACTTAGGAAACATCATCTTGGCCTCCCAGTGTATCTGGGACCCCAGACCCCCGCACCACCCCCACGTGCTTTGGCGGTAGAGGGCAGGAGCTCGCCAGGACCCTGCGGGGCACACCCACCTGCCGGGCGATGTACTCCTCCGCCAGCTCCACGTCATACTTGACGGCGCTGCACCTGCTGGAGGCTGCCTCGATCAGCGAGGCCGCATGGTCGGCCTTCATCCCCTGCTTCACCAGGTGCTCCTGGGGGGGCAGGCGAAGCAGAGTAAGGAGGGCATTTCGGGCCCGGCCGCGAGAGCACAGCGGCGACCCCCCCACGGCATTCACCTTGATCCAGTCGACGTAGGTGGGCACACGGAGCCGCGAGGACCAGCGCAGGGTGTGCAGGATGTCGCTGTCGGCGCCGTCGCTGCCGCTGCCCGTCAGCTGCTCCACGTAGGCCTTGGAGGGGGGCAGTGCGCCCAGTAGGCGCCACAGCACCAGGAAGTAGTACTGAAGAGAGCAGGCCTCCTAAGGGCAGCACACAGGAAGTGCACGGCGTTCAGCGGGCGGGAGGCACCATCAGGGATGGCATTGAACTGACTGGAAATGTCTTACAAGGGCCTCTAAAGCTGATTCTACAGTGTGTCTCAGAGAACTTGAGATCCGGCGTGAATGATGTGAAAATCCGAAGCAAGGAAGCAAGCCTGTAGACCAATGAAGTCAGACCCGAGTGTGCAGGGGTCCCTCCTTTCTGTAGCTCAGTAGGATCGATCAGCGCCATCATCCTTAGCCGTGCGCTGGACATGGCCACTTACCACAGGCATGATGGTCTTGTTTTCTTGCCTCCTGGCCGTGTCAAACTGGGACCCGGCGGACAGCAGGGATATCAGGCAGGAGTACAAGTCGTCGTATTTCACTGCGCCGTTGAACAGCACTGGGAAGACCTGAGGCAGAACGTGGGGTTAAGGGCGCAAGGGCACTTCTGCTAACGATGATCGACCCCCCACCCCGCAAACAAACATTCCGGGGGCGTGGCTTAAATGCTTTACAGGGAAAAAAAAAACACACTTACTTTGCTGTCCAGGCGATTCCGGTCATCTTCCGATGCCTCAGGTGACAGGACGCAGTAAAATTTAGGCTGCATCGCAGAATCTAAACACAAGATGGCGGCGATGAGGCTCAGGCTGCAGACAGGCTATAGAGTCCTAACTGACCACCAGAACCGTCAGTGTGAAGAAACAAAAAGGGCAACTTACTCCTACCTGCCGAGCTGTGCTTCGTCCAGTTGTCCTCTACCTCCTTGAAGCCATAGTAGAGCGGAATGGAGCCCCTCTTGGCCCCCTCTTCGCCTGCGCTGCCCCCGGTGGCAGGGGGAGTCAGCAGATTGTACTGCACCTGTAACAGACAGGAAGTGAGAAGGGGCCATGGACAATCACCCTCATTAAACTGGTGAGTGAAAACTGCCACCATACGGTTAAGGACGTGTAGATACATAATAACTTAAGACCGAGTCAATTACATCTGGATTTCTTCCAATTAAATTGTCCCCCAGTAAGGGTATGACAGCCAGAACCCCAGTTCATTTTAACCTTTGGACCCAAAATGGCCACACTGCCATCATCCTCTCGTTCACCGGGAAGCCGAGCCACTGACCTGCTCGAAGAGGTACACCGGCGCCTTGGAGTACTGGTGCAGCAGGTAGTCAAAGAGCAGCAGGAGGCGGCCCAGGTTGAGGGGCACGGCCTGCAGCTGCGACTGCCCCTGGGCAGCCACCTCCGCGATGGCCTGGGTGCAGAGCATCAGCACGTCCCGGCGACCCCGCTCCGACAGGTTGTGGAAGATGAGCAGCAGCAGCTGGAGGTGCTCCACGTTGAGGTCCTCCTCGCCAGGAGAGGCACCCTGCAGCGTGTGCTGCTTCAGCGTGCCCACAAACCTACAGGCAGGTGGGGGGGGGGACTCTTCAACAGCATGACAAACTGCAACCTCCCACACTATTAGGTATTCAGAGTACCAAATGCAACTCAATTTCCCAGAATGCCACTGGGTCCTTCACAAAGGACCCTAAGCGTACCTCTCCCAGACCTTCATGCACTCGGGTACGTCAGAATCGCCCACCAGGCTGGCCTTGTGCTGCCAGATGAGCAGCAACCTTGAGAGCACCGACAGGGACTGGGGGTGGATGTAGAGCGGCCAGGGCCCCTCGGAGAAAGGAGCCACACCCAACTGCTGCAGCAAGGTGTTCTGGGAAATTCAGGGAACCTTATTACGAACTTCAACAAGCAAAGTAGAAAAATGTAAAGTCTTTACATGTGGGAAATGGTGGTACTCCCTTTAGTAGCACTTAAACCGCATCATTTCTTTATTAAAAAAGATTAAAGGGAGAGTGTCCTCTGTGCTGACCTGCAGCGTTGGCGAGGGGAGATCTGACGTCACCAGCGAGTGGTTAAAGTGATACAGAGCACATGCGAATTCTTCGTCAGACGATCCTGCAAGCAATAAGGCGGGTTCAGCGGGTAACGACGGAGCGAAACCAGAAAATCCGGCTCCTCGGGATAACTTAAAACGCTGGCATTTAGAGGGCAGGCCAAGGCCGGGAGATGGGAGCCAGAGCAGCCGAATCACCTTTGGCGTCCTTGTCCACGTCTTTGATGATGCTGGCCAGGGTGGCCATGTGCTGCTCGTTCAGGGAGACGCTCAGATAGTTGCGGATGAAGTTGTTCCTGGACTTGAGCATGGAGGTAGCGATAAAGTTCAAGATGCTGGAAGCCAGGCTCAGGAACTGAAACACAGTGGGTTTGTTAGAGGAGATCCGAGGTTCCAGGAAGCACCATCCATTCCTGACAGGTCTAGCCCACCCGCTGCCCAATAAATCAGCTCCCGTTGGACCTAAGGGGTACCCTCACCAGCTCAGGGTCCTTCCGGCTGGACAGGATGTTCCCGTTCTCCCCTGTGCTCTGCTTGCTGGGGCTCTTCAGCCTCGGAGATGTCTCCAGGGGGGGTGGTGGGGGAGGCGGTGGGGGGGCCACTTTCTCCTTGCTGGGGGAGATGGTCTCCTCGAACCACAGACCCAGGATGGGCTCGCTGTCCTCATCTGCAACACAGAGGAGGCAGCATTGAGTGCGGGGGGGAGGACCAGCGACACTGGAGCCCATGCAGCAGCGATCTGCTGCTTCTGTGAGCTGGTTTACTGCGAGGGGGACAAAGAGCCCAGTGCGACGGCGGGGCGGACAACTACACATCTGGCCTAAGAGAAAAAGCCGCTGACCTGATAAACAAGCTGCTCTTCTCCTCTGTCTTCTCTCTGCTGAAATAGTAGAGACTGTCACTGGCTTGCTCGGCAGTTGACCGGCGACCAACCGCCCCCCCCCAAGCCCCCACCCAGCAGGGTCCATCACCTGACTGACCTGCCTCTGCCACCTCAAGCGGCCTGACTCTGTTCTGCCCCAGGCCCTTGTGTATCCTCACACCTTGTGGCACCCGAGATCTGCCCCAACCTATCCTTCCCTCGCCGTTTCTGATGCTAAGCCAGCCGAACAGAAGCAAGTCTGTGCTGAATTCTGCCTAGTCTTTCACACCAGAGCCGCATACCATCACCCTCTCCTCCCCGAGCTATGAGGAATGTAGCTTCTAATCAGTGAAGAACTTCAGAAAGCAATGATTACACAAGTGTCCAAAGGGCTTTCCAAGAGACTCAGACCCCTAAGTCTAGCTAAACTTAAATTGCAGAATTTTTAAGTAATTATCTCTTCAATCCCCCCCCCCACCCCACCCCACAGGAGAGAGTTGAGCTGAGGACAGAATAAGGCTGGTGGTGCACTCCACAGCTTGGCAGAAGAGGAAAGATCTCCACAGTACCCTGACTGCTATCTTCCTCTGTGCTGCTGAAGTCATCTTCATAGTAGGTATTGGAGTCTGTGGAGGCGCTGACATCACTGCTCACTGACCCTTTCCTTTGTCGCTGGAGGACACAGGCCTGGAGGGGGCGCCAAAGAGGAGGAGTACACATAGTGGTTATCCAAGTGACAGCCTGGGTCACCGCACTGTTCTTGAAATCAAATTCACTGCTTTGCAGTGCCCATTTTAACACCTCAACAAAGAAAAAAATAGTTCCGTTGTGTGTGTTGAGATAGAGAAGGAGCAAGCATGTAGAGCAGGATGTGTCCCTGTGCAGGAGCCCGGGAAAGCTACAACTGTCCCACTTCTGCACAAAACTAGAGGCTTCAAAAATTAATGTAGAAAGAAAAAATGAAGAAAAATCAAATAAAGTTTCCCACTTTTGCACAGAAATACCCGTTTCAAAAATGTGTAAAAAGGAGGAAAATTTTTAATGGTGACCCAATGGGAACGCTGTGGGGAATTTAATCTCTTTTTGCAGGGGTGCGAGTCCCATGCAAACCCCCCCCCCCCCCCGCCTCACCTCTGTATACCGTACACCTAGGAAATGTTGCAGCTTTCTGGTCTTTAAAGTTTAAAGACAGAAGGAGGCTTTTTGACCGATGCATTCAGGAAGATGTGCAGAATTAAGAAACCTTTTGGGATGTGTACACTGCATGCGCTTCTTTGAGAAATGGCCTGCTAACCTCGGCAGGCGCATACCGGTATTTTGTTCCTAATTTGCATTTCCCCCAATTTTCTTCCCCCTTTTCCAACAATAAGTGAAGCATAGATGGAGCACCAGGACGGAACATACGCAAGAAACGTAAGGAATGCAAACGCTGAATACATTATACAAATTGCACGACTATTACTTATAGTCTGGTCACATAGGCAAGATTACTTAAGCTGCATTTAGGCCCAATCTCCAAATAGCAGAAAAAGACATTCTGAGAATTACGTTGAGGAGGACTGTGGAAACCTGCGACTTGTCATGTTACCCAGCTGTAACGCTGCATGTTTACCTGATACAGTCCCTAGCTCAATGGCTTTGGTCGACACCCTGAAAGATACGCTAGTGTCACGGCAGCCTAGGGGTCAGCAGAGCAGCTCACGACGGTGTCTGTACCTTCTTGTAGGAGGTGGACAGCAGGGTAAAGAGCAGGTTGGTGAGGGGCACCGAATCAATGAGTCTCTGAACCCTCTGGATGGAGGTGCTCTGGGCCATGATGCTGAGATCTGCTGGGGGTCCGTCGCTGGTCCAGCCCTGTGGGCACAGCAGAGCTTATCTGGCTTTGCTCTACCACAGCAACTGCAAAGTTGGGGCTATTAAGGTGAAGCCGCCGCGAACCAAAACCCACCAGGTTCCCTTTCGGGCTTTAATGAACTTTCACTTTGATCGAGCTTTCAGATGAACCATTAAACCAACTGTGTATTTTTCAATGCTAGGTTATATTTCTGTAGTGTCAACATTAATCGTGTAAATGATTCAAACATAGACACATAGTTCATTATTTATACTAATCTGCCTGTATAAAACCTACTTTTTAATTATTCTTTACACCTGATCAGGCTACAGAAAATTGACTTACACAAAATACCTTTAAAACACCAAATCGGAAAAGTTTTATAATTAATATAACATAAGGACCAGCAGATTCAAGAAAACTGCCCATGTAATCACCGGAAATCAAGGTTGCGTTTCAATTTGTACAACCCATCTATTCGGATTAATAAAGAAGCTCATTGTGAGCTGAAATGTGAGGTGAAATGAACACTCCTATTTGCGACCCACAAGGACTGGAATTGACACACTGTAGGCCTAAGCAGGTCAGGCCGTCTCTGTGGTGATCGGGGTGCACTAACCCTGTGCAGAGCCTCCACTTGCAGGTCTTGGAAGAGAGAAGAAAGCAGTTTTATAGAGTGATTTGCCAGGATGACTGATAGAACTCCAAAGCCCTGGTGCCTGCAAAACAAAGGACCGGTTTGGGGAGTTAGCAGAAACCGTTCGGGGAAAAAGTCAACATTCAGAGCCCTGCCCAACACAATATCCGTGCCTGAAGAATTTAATGTGTCACCATTTTATATCATAATGCCGACAACAACTAAGCAGCGAGTAGCTCAGCGGATTCGGAATCTGCGTCTTTCTGTGGAAGGTCATGGGTTCAAATCCCAGAGATAACAGAAAGAGACTGGATATGGGGAAAGCCATCTAATCTACCTTGGGGGTGAATATGATACTGATATTCTATTTCCAGCATATCATTTGTCCTTCCTTTTACATGCTAATAATAAAAGTAGGAGCCAACAGAGTAATTAGGAAGTTTCCAGCACTGAATTAAGGTTTAATGAAATGAATCAGGAAAATGTGAGTGAAGGAATATTACTAAATAATTTAACCCACTCACTACATTAGATAAGCCAGGATAAGCACTGGATATGTCGTATTAAAAACAAAATACAGAAAGTTTAATGAATCGAATGAAAATAAACTGGCTGCTATCAGTCCCAAACAAAAAAAAGTACTGTGGCAATTTTTCAGAACTAGTGGGGGAACGGGCATAAATACAGAGAAAGAGAAAGGAAAAAGTCACCAGCGGGGCAGCTTGCAAAGCCAACTCCTCTCCTGGGTCATGTTACAATGGGCACAAAGCCTGCTGATTTTGGAAGCCAAACACACCCTACTGTGGGCAGGATTTAGAGCGTTTCAACTGAAATTTCACTTGTGTGAAATCCAGCCTCACTCTTCCTGCTGAGCTGGGCACACTCACACTCGTCTGTGGCATGACTGCCAGCCTCACTCTTGCTGCTGAGCTGGGCACACTCACACTCGTCTGTGGCATGACTGCCAGCCTCACTCTTCCTGCTGAGCTGGGCACACTCACACTCGTCTGTGGCATGAATGCCAGCCTCACTCTTCCTGCTGAGCTGGGCACACTCACACTCGTCTGTGGCATGACTGCCTTGTTGGTTCTTTCCCTCCCAATGTCAGATTTTGCTCCTTCTTCTGAAGCTTTATGTCATCAGAGCCCCAAAAATTACTTAAAGGCAACTAATTTTTTACTTCTTACTCTTTCAATCCAGTCATTCACAGTCATTGATCATTCTTCACTTTACACAACATATTTAAAGAGGCAGTTTCACTGGTGAACATTTTTTTTTTTTTTTTTTTTTTTTTGGAAAAGCAACCGATCTTCTGCTTATACCAAACGAGGCACAGGGACAGATGGCTGCATTCACACGCGTGTGCACGGCTCCACCTGACTCTCCCAGCAGCCACATCTTCCCAGCAGCTGCTATTCGCTGGAATCATCGCCATAGCAACGGAATCGCAATCTGAATTTACATCTGCATTAGGCCGGTGCAAGGTTTTGAATTAAACCATTTCATGTGTGAAATTAGATTCAAGGCCGTGATTAATAAATGACACAAATTCGGCCTTGTACACTAGCATGTACAGATGCTGCTCTGGGCACAGACCGGATTCCGAGCTCGGCGAAGCAGCTCACCCTTTGCCGGGGCTGAGTTTGGGCGAGCCGGCCCCATCCTTGGCACGTGTGACGATGTCCCGAACCCGCAGGGCCGCCAGGGGGTCCTTCTCCTTCCCCTTGTCGGCCAGGGATGTGGGGCTCAGGTTGAGGATCAAGTAGAGGCTGTTTAGTAGGCACCAGGCCCCGAGGAGCTGGAAGTTCTGGTAGTGCTGTGGAGACACAGGTGTTCAGGAGACCAGACGAGGGCCACAGAGGGAGATCTTACGACATCGGAGATCTGCGTGTCGGCACTTACCTCCCCTCCAGCTCTGCGGGAGTTTCTGATCGCCTGCCCAATCATGTCGTAAATCTCCAGCTGGAACCACAGATTAACCAAACAGCTGATCAAGTTAATAAATCAGCAAAAGACAGCAAGGGATTGGGTCCGATTACAGTTGCAATTATGCAGTTACCTAAGCGATAGGTCACACTGAAAATATCCCCTCCTGTCAGACGTTTCTTTAAATAAAGCCCATTCTGATGGCATGGAGGGCTACTCACGCATTTCTGAACTATTGTAGCAGCATCGTTGTCATAGTCTTCCTCCTTGGAGCCGGTGGAGGCGGTACGGAGCTGCAGGCCGCTACCCACATGCAGGATGGCCATGCAAGTGGCCACACTTACACCTGGCACACGGTGGGATGGGGTGGGGTGGGGGGGGGGGGGAGGGTGGAGAGACGCAACTCAGAGAGGGCAGCAGTGCTGATCTCCTGTCACCCACAGCCACTGCGGCGGTTACCCTTAGGCCCAGTTTATACTCAACGCCTGCGACATATATGCTTAGGTGTGCTGTCGCTACACACGTGTGGTTTACGTCAATCTGGAGGATTAAAGGCCACGTCCACCAGGGGGCAGTGCGAGAAAGCCAACCTGGTTGGCTCCATCATTTCCGGTCTGATTGTTTGTATGAGGTTGTGGCATGAGGTGTTTTCTGGTTCTGCAATACTGCTGCAGCATTCTCAGTATTCTACCCACTGCTCCACGTCTGAGTATAAACCAGCCCTTATCCGGCTCGCCCGCAGTTTCAGTTCCAACAGCGGTACAAAAAGGTCCCTTGAAGACCCTCGACGGCGAAGGCCGGACAACGCGGCCCTCACAAGCTGCCGCGGACAGCGACTCACCGGCGTAAAGGCAGCTGAGGGCCAGCACCGTGACGTCCTGCAGCCGCCGTGGCGTCAGGGGCTCCAGCACAGGCAAGGACAGGGTGTCCAAGGCCATCGTCACATCAATCACCAAGGAGTGAAACCTACGTGGCGGAAGCGGCAGAAGGGAGAGCCATCGGCCTGACTGTGAGGTCACATGACGACATCGCAGAGAACCATCCACATAGGCCGATGAGCCACTATTTACTTAGCACCTAATTCAAAAATGTAATTTACCTAGCAGCGATTAAACAAGCGCATAACCCCGAGTATTAAACTCCCCGGTGGCTGCTGTTCACCATCTGTTTCGCTTGAGCCGTTCTGCTTTAGCATCAGTCGTTATGAAAACAGGTAAAATGGAAAGTTGCTCTGGTTTTCAGCACCAACTGAGCGATAGAATAAATGCTTAACTTTCGCCATTAGCATCAGTACTGCAGCCGTCACTGAGGCATGCGAATGCGGTATTGCAGGGACTGCCGGGATTATCACCCCTCACGGCACACGCTGACGTCACCCCCTGGCTGGGCGTCCGGGTCACTCACCCGTTGCGCACGGCGGTGGCGTCGGCCACCGTCGCCGGCATGATGAAGAAGGAGTTGGCCGACACGGCGTCCTGAAAGCGGTTGATGTAGCGCAGGAAGTAGGGCAGGTTGAGGCACACGCGCAGCAGCTTCTCCGAGCCCCCTACAGACGACAGCGGCAGCCTGGTCAGCACGGGGGGGGGGGGTTGGGCACAGAGGGAGGCAGCCACACCGACCCACTACTCACCCAGTTCCTGTAAACTGGACACATTCTGGGAGATGAAGGCATTCTTCATTTTCGCCTGCGTCGCTTGGTCTGCCCTCGTTTGGTCATCGCTCTCACTCTCCACCTGTAGCAGCGAACCCCATGAGCAGGCAGGGTACACATCTTAAAAATCCCAACACCTCATTCTGATGGAACTCAGTCTGATGGAAATGAAGTCAATAAATCCTTCATTAAACAGCATGGAACCGCTAAGGGCCACACCAGTCAACCTGGTCAATCACACCGGTGCTTTAAAAGTTTGGCAGGCAGAACCCTGCAAGTCCTTGGACAGAATCCATCCTGGAAAAGCCTAGAGTTTATTTTGGCCACTCTGTTGGGCAGCATTTAAACAACCGGGCTTGTGACTGCAGGGTCAAGTCTCAAGAGGGGTCCGGTTGTGATCCCACCAACGGGGAACTTAACCTGAATTTCTTAAGTAAAAAAAACAGGACACTATAGATAAGTCCCAGGCTGTGTAACCTGCGTAGGCATGAAGTGTTTTCTAAGCTGAGCAATAATATACCGATCAAAGCAAACTGACCAGATTTTGAACAAACAAATATTTCTGTAATAACTTTACATCATTAAAATAACAACCAAAATGACAGATGACAGGATTCTCAGTGAGTTCTGGCTGTTAGAATTGCTGGACAGACCTGGATTTGTCCACAGGGAGACGACAGCATGTTGACGTCTGGGTTGAACACGGAGGTCAGCTGGTTGAAGAAATTCATCTGCACCTCCTTCTGTCGAACCTCAGGATTCACCGGCGAGGGCAGATCCTTCTGGTCCTCCACTGCAAACGCAAACACACACGCATAAAGAATACAGTACATAAAAAATCCCACACACAATCAACAACACTGTCCCTACAAGCAGCAATGGAAAAATGCTGAAGATGAATCTCATTTGACAGCAGCTGAGGAACAAAGCTTCCATTCTGTTGGCCTGGAAGCACAAAGCCTGATGAGACACTGTCCAGACAAGCAGGGCCCAGTCTCCCTTATCTTGTTCACCAGCTGCCTCTTCTTATTTATTAAGTTACGTATTAACAAGTAAACCAAATGGTTGAATTTTACTCATGAGGTCCATTGAAGAACAAAGAAAAATTATAAACTTGTGGTGCACCAGAAAAAGGCCAGTAAAATTAGCAGCTGAAGTTGTTAAGATTGTACAGGACATTCAGTAAAGGGCACTACCCTCAAGTGGATGCAGTGTTTCCCAATGGCTTTACAACATATTACTTTGAAATTCTGAAAATGCAAATCTAATAGAAATCCCTCAGTTCACCTTGTCCAAATTAGTTAGATGACAGATTCTGAGAATGGGGACAGGGGGTTTCTGAGACACTGCTATATAAGCCAGGACACAGGCACACGCACCGAGAGAGAGACAGGAACACGCACAGAGAGAGACAGGCACACGCACAGAGAGAGAGACAGGCACAGAGAGAGAGACAGGCACAGAGAGAGAGACAGGCACAGAGAGAGAGAGAGAGAGACAGGCACACGCACAGAGAGAGAGACAGGCACAGAGAGAGAGAGAGAGAGAGAGAGAGACAGGCACACGCACCGAGATAGAGACAGGCACGCGCACAGAGAGAGAGACAGGCACACACACAGAGAGAGAGACCGGCACAGAGAGAGAGACAGGCACAGAGAGAGAGAGACAGGCACAGAGAGAGAGAGACAGGCACAGAGAGAGAGAGACAGGCACAGAGAGAGAGACAGAGAGAGAGAGAGAGAGAGAGCAGGCACACGCACCAAGAGAGACAGGCACACGCACAGAGAGAGACAGGCACAGAGAGAGAGAGAGACAGGCACACATACCAAGAGAGAGAGAGAGAGAGGGAGGGAGAGAGGCACAGAGAGAGAGCGAGACACAGGCACACAGAGAGGCACATACAAAGATAGACACACACTCACACATACCCATAGATACACACAGACAGACAAACACACAGACACATACAAAGAAAGACACACACACAGACCCACAGACACAGGCACAGAGAGAGAGATAGACACAGACACAGCTGCACAATATCACATCACAAAACGTGAAATTCCAGCGAGTACCACTGCACTATTAATATTTAAAAAGTGGTGAAAATACCTGAAATAAACTACAGCCAAATAGAACTTATCTACCAATAGAATGTGTCAAATAAGTTGGTGGTGTTGCCACGAGTTGTGAAAAGAAACAACGTGCATGTGATTATCGTTCATGCGCATGATGCATCGTGCAGCCCTACACACGCATGCACGCACGCGCACACAAATGCGCACACACACCAGCTATCCCCAGCCCCGCACAACATTCCTCATGGCTTCCCTCACACCTTCTGGGCAGTGGGGGCACCATTTACTGATCTTTTGCCATGTCAGAGCTGAGCCATGATTGAAAAAGGCCTTCAGGACTGTGACAGCACCTCCAAAGAGACTCTTCTCCAGGCTGTTAATTTTAGAGGCCAATTCAGAGGTAATCACAGCTGCTGCCTCGGCTGCTATCGCATTTGTGGAGAACCTCCACCCCAAACAGAAAACACAGGCGTACCAATACAATCATTAATCACAGTCATTTACAACAGACAGACACACTTCAGCAATGATCAAATTGCTTTATGGCACAATTTAAAAACCAGCTAATACCCTAATTAAAGCTATCACATCACACATTACAGGGCAGCGAGAACATCATTATTACTTATAAGCTTAAAGAAATTCATGTTCTTCAAACACGTTGACACACAAAACAATACTCTACGAACAATCATAAAAAACAGTTTTTGCACTTGATGCGGATATTGTTTTGTGGTGATATTTCTGACAGGACAAACACAGTCGACCTCAGAAGGCTGACAAACCAGCCCAAACGCTGCACAGCATGAGGCCTGGCACCTTCTCCTACTGGCTCCATTACACTGACACTGCAGAACTATCACTGGCTTGGATCCAGCCCTACTGGTAATGACCACCCCCCCCCCCCCCGCCCCCCACGTCCGCCAAGGGTCGGGTCAGAGAGACATCTGGCACCCCAGGGAGGTCAGGCTGAGCCAAATTTGGACGCTATCTGTGTGGTGCAGTCAGACGTCACCTGCGATGCCCCGCGACACGAGCACGGCACGGGCCAGGAGGGCGGCCTACCGTCAGACAGCGTCTTGACAGTCAGAGGCAGCTTGGCTGACTTCATCATCGCGGTGAAGGTGATGATTTCTGTGCGATCCAGGCGGCTGCAGGCCGTGCAAAGGCCTTTTATCAGGAGGATCAGGTGCTTCTAAAAGACAAACAAACCAGGCGGGAGCATTGGTACGAGAAACACTAATTCAGTACTTACACTAAAATTTACCATTAATCAGAACCAGTTCAAGGTCTTGAGGCCAAGAAACAGCAATGATACATAACAGCCAAGAATAAAACTGAAACTGAGAAGTATCAGCGGCATCAGGGTGTGAATCCCTCGAGCGCGCGGGGGGGGGGGAGGGGGTGGTAGGGGGGGGCCTCACCTGTGAAACGGCACATGCCTCGTCTGGGTTCTCCAGCCTCAGCAGGGAGAATTCGATGAGTACTTTACAGGCTGCCGCCACTGACAGCAGCTGGTTTCTGGGGACTGGGAGGAAGAGCAGCAGAAGTCAAGAACTCAAATGAATATGGGAATCGGTACAACTATTCATCGCTTGAAGGCCTGTGAAAGTGCTGACTGGGACAGGCGATGAGACAGCGCTCATGTACAAACAGTCCTACTTCAAGTTACACCTGATCGCATGTACATCTGAGGCCTATAGCCAAAAGTATAAACTGATTGAGAGACACCTGAAAGTGGACAGTAGGAAAGTAGCAGCTGCATCGCATAGAGTAACATGTGGAGGTGAAGGGCAGCATTGCCAACTGTATGATTACTCAATGTCCATATCTAACTAAGACAGAATGCATACGGTAATGGATACGCGACGGACAGCGACAATATTGAGATACACCCAAAGTGACTTGGATCTGGTGGTCCCGGTCCCAAATGCTAGTACAAGTCAACACAAGGCTGCATTATCAGCATAAGCTGCCAGCTACCAATCATCAATGTGTTAACAAGGTTCATCGGCGAAGAGAAAGGAAAATTTATGTATCAAACTTCAGTTTCACCCTGGTATTCCAAGAATGTCATTTCATAAACCCAGTGTCAAAATGATTCTGAAAGGCGTGATTCTTTAACAGAATTTTTTTTAAATAAATCAAGATTCTCAAACCACTGACATTTTTTTTACGTCGATACAAAGGACAAGACCATATAGCATATTTTAGCACCTTATACTTAGCATAGTATAGCATCTATTTTCACAGCATGTCTCAGAACACGCCCTTTGCATGTCTAGAGAAAGAATGCAGAACTGGGTATTGACACTGCAACTAGTAATATTGCACTTAGGCAATCCAGCCAGAATCAGAAGCAGGAACAACATAAAGCTGAACAGATGCTGGACTGACACTTACAAATTAAATTAAAAGCTATACTCAAGTACAAATCAGCGTGTACAATTAACCCACAGAAACCAAAAAATAACCACTGTTCAACCAATTACTGCTGTAAAGGGAAAAGTAACAAGATCAGGAGCATGCAGGGGCCATTGGAAAAGGAAGGGCACTGCAATTAATAGAGTGCCCACATTGTTATGACACGCAGACAAGAAAATGGTCAGATACGTACTTTGTCCACAAACTGTGGTGATGTAATGTGCGGAGAGAGCCACAAAAGAGGAGTAGAAGGGTTCGTACTGTTTGTCATGATGGAGGATTTCCGATGCACTGCAATAGGGGAGAGCAAACAGTCATGTGGAGGTGCATTAGACTCGAGGTACCTATACTCAGCTACGTTAAACACCCCCCCAAAAAACACTTGCTTGGGGGTAACTTGTCAAAACATGATAATATATCACACCCTTGGTAATCAAATAACCCATTAGGTATAAGAAATACTAAGTAATTCCAGTGATTAAACTATGTAAAACAGCCCAGCCGAGTAATGAAAAGATAATCATATACAATAAGGTTTCATTTACTTGCAAATGAAACCGTGATAACCGATTTTGCAGTGAAAATGGCTCTAAGTAAGAGAGAACTAAAGTTGACAACACCCCCACCCCCCCACCAACGCTACTCAGCAGGTCGGATCTGAAAGCGATGATGTTGGTCTTTGGGCGGCAAACGCCACGATGTGCAGGCATGCCCTGCCTTCTCAGTGCGGCTGTTCGGCACCGGGAGCAGCATTTGCAGAGAGGAAGACCCATAGCCTGGTACGGTGTCACCAAAGTTAAAGAACCGGCCAAACCATTCTTAACAGCGACCTTCCAATCTTTAAAATCCCGGAATACCGAATTGAGAGAAAATTACCAACAGCAAAATCGATTAACTTGAAAGTCGTAAGAAGAGATGAGACCAGCAGTTACTGACAGAAGTGACGGGGAGCCGAAGCGCCGTAACGCAAGGGGGTGTCGGCGGCAGGACGTTCAGGCGCCCTGCTTGGTCAGGCGACACCGATTACTTCTCCACAATGACAGCGTGCAACTTAGTTGCGCCACTTCGACAAACTACTTCGGCGGGTGCAGAAAGGGGGCACGGTCTAATCTGTAATCAAAAACGATCGAGACAGTCTCGGGTTCAACTTTTAATAAGCCCCCAAAGGAAGCCGGCGAGGGTGACAGGTAGCCGTGCGCTAGTTAGCCTAGCCTAGCTTAGCCAATGAGCAACCGCAGAGCTCCGCGCTCGGGACTCCGGCTCGCAAATCCGCGTTAGTTCGCGTCTGGTAGAAAATGGAAAACCCGGCCGGGCACCCCGTGAAAGAGAGGAAAATGTCAAGCAGTTAACCCAGAAAATAAGGTGAGAACTCTATAAGAAGTAACCTGAATATGCTTTTGATTTAGCGGTCCCCCCTGATCTGTTCGGCCTGATGATAAAGCAGATTCTTGCTTTAGCCTGAAATGCTAACTGGCTACTTGACTGAGCGCTCTTCGCACCCCTTTCCGCAAAGCTCAGTCCCTTCTACCATCGGACAGGGCGACCGCTTGCCTGTTAATGATGGATCCTACGAGCTGAGGTAGCTCCTTCGTCTCAAATGCCGTGTACGACGCTGATAAAAGTGGTCGCACGGCTGCGGTCCACTCGGGTTCTCCATCTCCTCCACTCGACGCCATCTTGAGATCCTGTATTAGACAACCCCCAGGAAGGAAATGAGGTTAATCGTCCAGCCACCAAAACAACAGGAAGTGACGACATATAAACGGTTGACGTCGTGAATGTTGTGATTTAACGTTACGTCACACTGGTGAGGGTATCCTTAATATACTTTATTTTTTAACAAAAATATACCAAAATACCTCATTCACCCATGGGAAATGGGTGGCTGGAGGATTGTTTGCCACACCATTGTTATTCCACGTTGGTATAAATTGTTTGGTGTTAATTCATATAGAGGACAATGACACATAGGGATATGTAACATGAGTATACAGGTAAACATGATATAGAGAGAATCTGAATATGCTCAGGGTTACAGGAAGGGGCCTGGAGCCCCTTCTAGGCAACAAAAGGCAAATGGATGGGGTACATTCAGCATGGAATGCCAGTCCATTGCAGGGCACATGATGCACAAACTCACACACTATACAAACTCACACAATATGGGTAATTTAGCAATGCTAAAAAAGTATTGATTGATATTCCATTTTGATATTACATCTTGTAAAACACTCAGTAACATCTTAATTATTCAGTGTCTATATAAGTAATTGTGAAAAAGCTGTTAGTGAACGGGGAGGTGTTTTTTGGCAGGCATCTGAATCATCTGTTTGGGCGTCATGCACAGGGTATGAGGGATCGAAGATTATCTTGTTGCAATATTTAGTTATGCATTGGATCTGGACAGTTAAGAGAGGGAAGGTCAGTTTGACACTTTTCAAATAATGAGCTCAAGTCTTGTTGTTTGTGCTATCATACCAGGCTATAACGGATGAGGCTAGGATGCTTTCAAAGATGGGTGGGTAGGTCCTGATTACAAGTTTGTTGACTCTCAAATTACTCAGCTGTCTGAAGTATTTTGTCTAATGTGCTTGAGTAATACTAGCAGCAAAACACTAGGAATTCAGAACTTCCATTTACATTTAATTGCTTTAAATTCAGAAATTTTCCTTCTTCCAGGAGTATCACTGCCATATGAGTTTCAATGTTGATTCGAAGTGCAGCTGAGCTCTGTATGCAAAATACATAATGAAAGATAATATATTAGTACGTGGGCTAGCTCACTTTTCAGGGTGTCCAGTGTCTTGTGCTTTCTTGCAATTTCAATAACCTCCAAGCTCCAGGATAAGTGGTTATGGTAACTGGGGAACGCGCTTGTGTAAAATTCTACTATGCAGAATGTTTACCAAAAATGAAACACTAAGTTTGGATGGAATAAGTTTATTAGTCTTATTCTAAAAAGAAAAACAGCCATACGTATCTGGGCACCTGTTGTTCTGTGCTTAATTTATATTTTGCTAGAAATGGAAAAGAAAAAAAAAAAAAAAACAGGGTGAGTTTTCTGAAATTAATGAAAACTTCTTGCATGCTGAACCCACCTCCATGTGACAGGAACCGTTTCCTTCTTTCAGATTTCTTAATGAACATGTAATTTTGCATTCTATGAACGCCCCAAAATTCATGCCAGTTTGACAGAACGCATGCAGAGAGGCAGCAGCAACATCTTCAGCTGCAACACGAAACAAAACTAGTAAAGGAAACTGAATTAAATTTTGCACATAAGGTTTAAGAACAAAACGGGGTGAAGGGATAGAGGGTACAGCCCTGCTTTCGAAGTATTTCATTTTTTTCAAATTCAAAAGTCAAACGATATTTTGCATAATAAATATTTCCGATACAAACGTTTTTCTTTTTCTTTTTTTTTTAAATAGAACAGAAAAATTACTCTGCATCCAGTGCTTTATAGACTTAAACAAATGAAATTGCAGCTTAATTCGTGCAACTTTTAAAAGTCCATCCTTTCCAACAAAACAATACAGTACAACCAAACCAGTAATTTCTAAAATAGACAAATGTAGTTAAGTGTCATTGTGAATTGATGAGGTGTTAAGTTTTTACTGCCCCCCCCCCCCCCAAAAAAAAATCCTCATACTTAGACACAAGGATGGTAATCAAAACATGTTTTGAGCAAATAAAAAGGAAAGTAGTAAAAAAAGACCAAATTTCAAAATCTTGAGTGGAATTTACAGCATAAATCTTTTAACCGGTAAACACTGGCTCCACATAATCATTCTAATCACATATAATCTTTTTCCTCTTCTTTCTACTGGTGTGAAATGCAAACAATGAAGATAAAAATTTGTCAAAAAAAAAAAGGACAAGTGTTTGGGGGAATGAAAATGAATCATTTGCTAGAATTTTCTTCATTTGTCCTCATAACAGTGAAAACGACATAGTATCACAGCCTTTGATATCGTACTGTTGTTCTTCCAAAAATCCCAGATAAACACTGTTTGCAAACGTAATCGGGACACATCTGATGACCTAACAGGATGAGCTGGGGATCCACTATCCTCGCGCAAACAGGGCTGCCGTCCGGGCAGGGACGCTGGCACTCCGCGGGGCCATCGCTCTGGGGCCAGGCGGGGACCCTTATCGCCACGCGCGGTTCAGCAGCTTCACTTGTGCTAGGCGCTTGGAGATCATGGTGGCGAAGAAGAGGCCGAAGAGCACGCTGCTGATCAGCACATAGTCGTAGTCGTCCTTCAACACGTCAAACTGCTTAGAGGGATAAACCCTCGTCTGGTAGATGTCCAGACCATATGCAACCACCTACAAGCACAAAGCCCTTGGAGTTAGTCTAAAACCTAAAGCTGCACACTCTTCAATTTTACTTTAATCCCCTGCCTGAAAAATTGTATTCATATTTGTTGACCCATACCAGACAGGTAGACTCCAGGCCAGAGGGGGCAGTGTAGATTCCTCGCACTCTTGACACGGTCTGATTGTAGTTGATATACCACTCTGTGCGTATTGGCATCTCAGGTGCATAAGGAATAAGGTTCTCCTCCCTAAAATTGTAGGTAAAAAAAAAATAAATAACTTGATTGGCCCTCAGACCTCAGGATTCCCTCTAATGCCATTGGAGCAGGAGAGGACTCACCGGCTCTGCTCTGACACTATCTCTGGCCTGCGAGGATCCAGGAACATCTTTGGCAGCGAGAGAACAGCTCCTGACGGCAGACCCACTACACACACACACATAAATCATTTACATGCCTAGCATACCTCAAACTTTTCTGCTATTACCTCACAATAAAGTAAAGCATTTTTATTGGCATGCCAATATACAAATTATATTATAATCAAATGAAAGGATATCAAATTCCAAGTTCAGTATTCATAACAAGGACCTCCAGCCCCCAATAAACAACCGATTCCTGCTGACTTGGGTGCCTAATCCTTAGGCATGGACTAAGGATGTCAGGTGACATCATCAGCTACTTCTCCAAAACCACACTTCTGTGGCTACACCTCCCTGCTCATCTCCTTGCCGCATGCCTGCCCCAGGGGACTGACCGAGGAGGTGTCGGCTGGTGATGCCCTTCTCGGTCAGCGTGGCCTCCATGGTTCTGATGGACGAGGGGAAGATGTAGGACTGCTGCAGCACCTGGGGCAGGTGTGGTCGGTCCAGGGAGCTGAACACTGTACTATTATACAACTCCATCCCCTCGAACAGCTCCAGCACGGAGAACTCATTCCGCCGGGACTTGGCGTTCCAGTACACGTACTAAAGAAACCGCAGGGAAAAACTGTAAAGCGTCATCCTAATTCCAGGAACTCATAGTCATATGACTATTCAAGTAATTCATTAACATGTTTACTCATATAACCAAATTCTCAGCAACGTGGGATTTATGTTACCTTAGAACACACCTTTACTTTGGGGCTACTTAACAGAGATTATAAAATAGAGGTGTTTCTGGGTTTATTTCCTTTATTTACATTTGGTTTAATTATTCAACGCTCCCAGTCTTAGGATGTACAGTATTGCAGCTATATTTAAATATCAGGCATGGGGTAGCCATAAGGGAGTGTTCTTACCACCACCCAGTTCTCCGAGTGGATCAGGTGGATGGGCCCGCGAGCCTTGCGCTGCACGGCCTCGTGGATGATGCGGCCTGTCACCCCGTCGATGAGGAAGACGCCCACGAAGCTGCGCTCCTGGTGTGTGTCCGTGCTCTCAGTCACCACCGCCAGCAGGTTGGGGTTCAGGTACTGTGGGGGGGGCGGGGAGAACAACCTCAAATTCCCAGAGACTATTACTTGTACCATATCGAGCTGTACAATCTCGTGAGACTACCGGTACACTGTCAGAAAAAAAAAACGGTACAGGCCTGGTACAGATTTGTTCTCCAAGGTACAAACAATAATGTACCCACAATAGTACAAAATATTCCTCAGAATCCATTTCTCTACCTTAAAAGGTGCATTTACCTGTAGCTAGGGTACAACTGTCAGACCCTTCAGGATACAGCCCAATGGACTTGTAATTGTACCCTCAAAAGGTACAAATTGGTCCTTTTTTCCTGACAGTGTAAGGCAACTAATTTACCCAGTAATCAGCTGTCAAAATGGTATTTCTGTGCTGAACTCAATATCATTTCCTCTTTCTGCAGTAAGTTAACCAGTATCCTGGGTAGCATTTCCCCGGTAACGCACCTTGTAGAGCACACTGCGGTCGCCCATGACACGGCCCTGAGAATGCACGTGCTCGTTGGCTCGCTTTCCCTTCACCGCCACGATCCGCTGCATCTCGGGTGCGATCACCACCTCCCAGATCAGCTCCGTGGAAAGGTCCTGGGACGTGACACGCACACAAGCTCAGTCTCCTGCACAGGGCAGCGGTCCCGATCAAACCACGGCACGCACAGACCGACCGGGAAGCCCCCGCTTGCCTTTCTGAGGCGAAAGCCAGAGAGCCGGCCCTGGCTGGAATCGACGAGGAAGAAGAAGATGGAGGAGGCCGTCTCCTGGAGCTGCTGCAGGACGTTCTTCGTGGAGGGGAACGCCGTCACCTAGAAACGCCAATTACTCGTTTACTTTCATTTCTGGAATCTCCTTCCGAAATCATGATCATACGACAGACCCGAGACCCGGCCGGGCTCCAGAGCGCCCACCTTGTACTCGCTGTCGATCAGCAGGAGGACCTTGGAGTAGTCCTGGTCGATGAGGGGCAGCAGCAGCGTCTGGAGGACCGGGCGTGGCAGGACCGGCGGGGAGATGTGGCTTTTCTTCCCAAAGATGGGGTTGAACACGTGGAGGCTTGTCAGACCAGTTTCCTGCAGACAGCGGGCCAAAGGGCAGGCTTATAGAAGGATCTCAGTCTTTAAGCCATTAGTAACACTAACTGCCAAGCGCACAGAATCATAGCCGCAAGCCATCCCACGTAAAGAAATTAGCAGCTGATTTCTTCCAAAGACGTGAACACACATCTACACTAACCTTGAAAATCCCCAAGTTACTAAAGACAAACTTAGAGTTACATGACGTGACAGACACCTCCACAGATTATCAACTCAAACAAGTATAGATCCTCAGACCACCTGCGCCCTGCATGGTGGAAGGATATTTAATGCAGGTTACCTTGTCCTTGATGAGCAGGGTGCATTGTGGGGGATGAGGGAAGTGAGCGGTGGTCCTCTGCACCATCAGCTTGAAGGCGGCGTTGGCCTGGACGTTGCGCAGGTAGTGTTTCCACAGCACCGTTCCTGATTTGCTGTCAATGCCGAAGAGCTGAGACAAGAGACGACCCCCCCCCCCTTAATAAGCAGCCGATAGGCTGAAAATGGATCTCAAACACACAATGTCAGGGATACCTAGCAGGTTAACAGCTATATCACGCCGCAGATTTACCTAACAGGGTGGAAATGGATCAGGTACATTGATCCCAGTCAGGGGTGTGGAGTCCTGCGCAGGGATTCTGGGTCGCCTTACCTTCCCAGAGGCAGTCACCATCACCATCATCTTCTGCAGGTTGAACTCGTCACGCGCCAAAGTCTCGATGGTCACCTCATTCTTCACCTGGCTGCGCGGCTTGCGGGCGTCGTAGAAGAGCTTCCAGAGGTGGCCGAGCCAGGCCTGCAGCAGGATGAGCTGGGAGGAGAGCCGCTTGAGGACCATGTGAAGGAGGCCGTCTGGGGACCACACACACACACACACACACACACACACAAACACATGTTAAAGACACGGACTCATAAGCCAGACCGCTGCCTCGGATCCCAGGACAGACCCTCAAAGTACAAGCAATGGAAAGCAGAAGTAGGGCTACAGGTTTGAAACAATATAGTGAGCAAAGATGAAATAAAGTAATATGCTTTAGTGGGATGGCTGTACATTTGAGCTACTCTGAAACTAAAGAAAAACAGCTTTTATATTTAAAATAATAATAAACACTTACAAGAGCAGAAAAGTGGTGCCTTTTGCATTGTGAAGTGGGGCACAGGGACTAATTCATTTTACCCACTGTATACACGGACTGACAAAAATTATTTGCTTGGAGTTCTGATGCATTTTTAAAATGCAGTTTAAAGAGGTATAAAAATTGTTTTAATGGCAAGTTCCATGCCTAAACCTATTGGTATTTCTACTGCTTTTAGTCACCCAAAAACAGCAGCCGGCATAATCAGAAAAGAGGATAATGTGTAAGCATACTGCCATTTATATATACTGTGTGTAAATCTAGAAGGACGCTCTTCACATTACCTTGAATGGCTGGATCCAAGCACAGCATTAAGGGAAAGCAAAAAAAGGGATGAGGCTGAGTGCAAACGCAGCGGATCAATGCAGAGTGAAGGATGCGGGAATTAGGAAGGGAAAAGCCGCAAACCACACGCTCTTACACCATGGGGACCCAGAGGACGACTCCACCAAAACAAACCACCACCCCCCCCACCCATCCACATTACCAGCTTTCTTTCCAAACTCGCCCTCCAGCTCCGCCTGCGTCCCAGTGAGCGGCAGGTCCACCATCTCCATGGTGACGACATCTGCCAACGCCTCCTCCCTGGACCACACCACACGGCCTAAGGATGGGAAGGAGGCCATCACCGGCATGCACACTGATCTACACAAACAATACACACCCCACCATCTGCAGTAAATAGAACCATTTAAACATAAATGCATTTTTATTTGGTTGGTGGCATTACACACAGCAATGTATACCAAAAGGTACATCCAAAACATCTTCATGGCATGTAAACGAACAAACACAGAAGATGTAAACAATAGTTTTGAAGTTGAATATAAAGTGTTTAAAATTCTGTACTATGCTGAAGTACTGAATGTCCCTGGGCATCCCACTAAGAGCCAGTGTGTCGCTGTCTGTCACCCCCGACTGAGAGCACAGTGTGGGAGGTGCGTCGACAGGCCGGTGAAGACCACCGCTTACCTGGCTGCTGCAGGAAGGTCAGTGTGTGGTCCTCGGTCTGCACCAGCACCCTGTAGCCCACGGAGTCGTCCTTCTTGAGGAAGGCCTGCACGTACAGCTGGGGGGCGCAGACAGAGCCGCGTTACAGGCGCACAGCCCCACCCCCAACCCACACCCCCACCCCGGCATCAGTGCCCCACCGCTCACCTTCTCCGGCATTCCCCCATTGGGGTCCAGGTGCACAATCACTGTGGTGTCCAAAAGCCTCCTTCCAGAGTCAGCTGAGAACAGGCTGACGCTGCACGACTGCTCACACACACGGACGTAACGTTACAAACAGTCGGACACGGCTGCCAAACTCGCGGGGTGACTACAGGACGATTCTTACTGCTGTGCCAGTCATAGCAACTGTACGGCGGTAGACAAATTTTTAAACTCTGATATAAATGTACATAAGGAGCTCCTGAAAGACGCGGAATGCTACATTAACAAGGAAAATACAACATAGCCCATAATATTCCTTGTCTCTATGTTGTGCTGAGGCAATGCCAGAAACTGGTTAGACGTGAGGGCCATCTCGTTTTGGGAACTCCCCATACTCATATCAGACTAGTCCAGTGATTTTATTTAGCTAAAACGTGCAAAGTTGTATGTTCTTGAAGTATCACTAGGTGCTGCCAAGTCTACGCCCACTGCTGGCGCCCCTCACAGGCAAAAGGCTGAACTGCAGTTTGCCACAATGACATGAAACGATGACATGAAGCCCAACATGTACAGTCGCTCACCGTCTCGTTCTTGGGTGCTAGGACAGCTGCCACGGTCTTCTCCCCAGACGTTGCGAAGGAGACTAGGAATGCCTGAGACATTGGGCAGAGTTTCCGCTTAGCGAGGCAAGTCTAATCAACGGTCAAAGAAGTCAGTGAGGTCCAGCGCTCAGCAACAGTCTCACGTGCAAATTCATCGCCATCAGTTTAAGCATGAGAATACAATCTATGGCGCAAGGAGAATCATGGATACCGGCTTGAAGTCCCTCAGCGGGCTGATCAGGCCGGCGGTCAGCTGCAGCAGGACATAGTGATCCAGGTCCAGCTGCAGAAGACACTGGGGTGACGCGGGGCGGGCAGGGTTAGGCTGTGTGGACACCACGGTCGGCTGGAATCCAGCAGCCACCTCCAGATCCAGGGACTGTAGAGAACAGAGCCAAAGCTACATTAATATTACATGTAAATAACTCCTTGACTCAGAGAGCACAAGTAAGCAAGAAACAATCTTTTCCTCAAGTAAACCCATTCGCCCAATGACCTGCTCCATTATCAGCAGCTCTGGTAACTTTGGGAACTGTGTCTAGATAACAGGGTTAAGGACAGAATGCTGGAGTCAGATACGTGTTACAAAATGAAAATTTCAATTCCGCTTATCGATTCCTATGTGCACATTTTCAAATAGACCCGACATTTTATAACACATAGCGTGGGACTGTGGGAACCGCGGTGTTATATATGCCTGCAGTCTGTTATTATATCGCGGGAATTTCCTGCTTTGTCTTACTGCAGGGTGCAGAACACGAGCAAATATTTTAGATTGACACTCAAGAAACAAAAGCAGCAGCTGTGACACGAATATGCAGAACTGCTGGCACGATCGGTCATCGTTTTGCAAAAGTCGTCAACAGCCAGCGTGGCAGATCCGGAGGTTTGGGAAAATTCCCGGTGGGCCAACAGAACCGGAAACGGGTTGGACAACACAAGCCACTGTACCGTAAACTGCACTGTGAACAACTAGCCATTTTTCTTCCTAAATCATCACAAAAACAAGTTTAAATCCTGAGAGCAGCGTTCCGCTGATATCAGCCACATCTCGGGTCAGTGTTAAAGCAGACATGAAGCTCATTCAACATCAGACTTTTATGACATATTTGCAAGGTAATGCTGTGCATGTCATTAATTGCATGTTCCCTGCAGATTATTAAAAAAATAGTATGTATATATGGGTAAAGTAAAATACGTGACTTACTAAAGGTGTTTTGTACTTTGTACAGATCATATATTTAATGATGGGCACATTGACGCATCCTTGTTTATGATAAAACCCACTTCTACCTTTAGCGAAGCTTGTCGGTAAAAGTCATGACATGAACGCAAAGTTAAAGTGCATAGGTAAGAATGTTCATTTAATGGATGATGGACATGTAAAATGAAACCTTTTAATAACAGAATAAGTCCAAATGTAAAATTAACCCATGAGTTGTTCTCTATGAGGAAAAATTAGTTGTTCAGTATAAAAAAAACTGAATAACCGATATGTCTTGATAAAACTTAGCACTGGCGCTAACTCTAGACTTATATTAATGTTTGCAAACATACAGACAGGGCTTAAAGGAGCCCTCAATTTTTTTTGGTTGCAGCCAACAAGTGTTGTGCATCAAATGCACTTCAATTCGACAGTTTTGCACACATACAGCTCTTTAACAGAGTCCTGATTGATTTATATAGTCTATTGATTTTTACTTAACATGTTGCAGCTAAGTGTGAATGCACTGTAGTTCCACATACAGTGTTTTTAACCCTGTTTTTATATAGCCTAATGATGTTTGTTTATTCAGGTGGCCCTGTGTGTTTTGCAGACACAGAATAAAGTTATGTTCGATATTGAAATGTTTGACCTCGTTTTTTTTTTTTTTTTTTGCACATTGTAATCGAAACTGGGAATCAGTAAGAATCAGAATCAATAAAATTCAAATGAATCGTGACACAACTAGCTAACGCAGCTCTTGTATTTTTACACTTGCTTTGCAGAAATCCAATCTTTATAATGTTTTGAAGTGAAGGGTCCTTCTGCTGGGTTCCTCTTGGGGTTTTGTGAGGTAGGGTTAGGTTTAGGGTTAGGGTTAGGGTTAAGCTAGGGTACAGCTCCAGCCCTAATGCTAACTTTAGCATTTGTTTCTGGTCCCTCCTTGGAAGCTCACCCTAAATGTATTTAAACTTAAGCTGGCTCCTTGACAGCTGTACTCTTGCAATGTTATATCTGCCCTGCTTGCACCTTACTTTGGTTTGCTAAACAGGTCAATGTAGACACAGCAAGCTTGCTTCGGACTAATTAAAATAAAACCACATTCAAGCACATGGTGACCAGATATAGCATTTTGTACCTGTAGAGTAATCTGCTGCACGGCGGCTCGGTCCTCTTTGCTCAAGGACAACACGTAGAGGGAAGCCGTAACGGCATCGACGCAGATCAGAGAGCCTGGGCCAACAACGGCGCAGCTAGGCTGCAGACTGGACAGCCAAGGAGCATCGACTGACACCTGAGGAAGGAATGTGGTCAAGAGAGTGTACAAACTCCTAATGGTACGCCAGTGAGGGGATTCAGCTGATACCTGATCCATAATCTCCCCATCTTCAATGTTGAATGCAATGATGGTCAGATGGGAGTGTGGCACGACACCCAGTACCAAGACCTCTGTGCCGCCCCCCGAGTACACAGACTGGTACTGAACCGTGTCACTGCAGAACACATGACAACCACGTAAGGGGTTAAACAAGTCAACTTTCAAAATTGAAATAAGACATAGTTAAAGCAGTGTTTCCCAATCCGGTCCTGGGGGACCCACATACAGTCCAGGTTTTTGCTCCCTCCCTGCTCCAGGAGCAAAAATGTGGACTGTCTGGCAGGGAGCTCAGAGGGAGAAAAAACATGGACTGACTGTGGGTCCCTAAAGACCAGATTGGGAAAGTACCGAGTTTAAGAATAAAGTTTCAAAAGCCACTTTAAAGTAACAGATTAGACAAACTGAGGCAGAAACTAAGGATGCTACAGCTGTTTTCCCCTAACCTGTCTGGCAGGTTTTCCACCCATTTCTGGTGCCCACTGGAGAGATAGTGGAGGGAGAGTGCGGCCTTCTTTAGCACAGCCACATACTTCACCATGTCCTGTACTCCTATCAAAGCAGCCGACTGGAAACTGAAAGAGAGGAAGGCACGTCAAACGGCAGCCCCTTAGCAGGGCTGCAGCATGTAGAGATCTCAGTCACTGATCTCGGGGGTTCGGTGAGCCACCTGCCAGTGTCCAGCACCATCTCCCAGTTCAGACCCCCAATATTAGACTCCCAGGACCGCAGGAGGCGGCCGTTCCCAGCAATCACCACAGCATCTAGGGAACGGGAACGGGGATGGGGGGGGGGGGCATTATCAAAACACTGCAAAGAGTCTGAATGAGACTGTGGTGGCACAGCCTCCATGACGGCTTCAATATGCTGATCATTCCATGATGATATCTCACGAGCGGAAAACACACCGATATGAGCACATAGCAAAAACCACTATCCAAATGTCACGTTCTACTGACAACTCAACTCACCTTGTCCATGGAACAGCAGGGTGTCTATATGCCCTTCTGGCCCTGTCTTGTCTACCTGTCTCCAAACTAAGATAAAAATATCATAATACTATTAAATTGCACTAGGGTTGCATGCAACGAAACACATATAAAAATGGTCCATTTACAAATCTATCAAACTGCTGTGAGGCCTGTGTAAATGCACAGTATGAGCAGTTATTTTAAAACAAATTAATAGTTGACTTACAAAGGTCCCCGGTTCTGGAATTGAGTGAAGCCACAACGTTTTGCTCTGTAGCCAGGAGCAGTTTTTTAGATGCTTGTGACTGGGTATCAAAATAAGCAAAGCGGACTTTGCCAATATATTGCTGTCTCCTGTGTATAAGAAGCATACAAATTCGCAAAAATTAATAGCAAAAAATCGATATTATGTAATTACTTCACACGGTTCAATTACAATGAGCAGGTCAATCACACAGAAAGTGCCCATGGACCCTCTAACAACCGAGTCAGACTTTTTTTCTGTTTTAGGCCAAAACATATCGCCAAAATAGGCGATAGTTCATAAAATATTAAACCCATAAACGACGGAAAACCTTACATGTATCCAACTAGAAGCTAAACATGGGCATTCAGAATGAATGTCACCATCTGGTGCTAAAACGCCGGCATGTTTGACAGTCGGAAGGATTCTGCATTAACACCATCAAAGACATAAGTGCCCAGCGTTTCACTTGATTAGACACTCACCAGTCAAATTTCCCGACTTGATCTTCAAAAACAGCAAACGAAAAACGAAAAAGCAGAAAGAAATATACAAACCAAGATATAAAAATAGCCATAGTGCAACACACAGTCTACTCCTCGTATGTCCCCAGATCCTCACAAATCCCCTTCTGGACGTACGTCCGACTTGCAAGAAAAAAGGAACTCTTAGCAGTGGCCTGCCTCAAGCGGTTGAATTAAGTGAAAAAGAAATTCCGGTGTTTATTTATATAATCATAGATACTAAATATATATACAGTTTTACTATTTAAACACATAATAAAACAGTATACGAAATTTGATAGAGGCAAGACGAAAAAGCTTGTCTCAGGCAGTGCACAGTCAGCCTACGCTATCTGAGGACCACCAACCAGTAGAAATCCCATAATGCACTCGAATGGTCTCAACACAAGCAAACGGAAATGACATTTACTGCACCCAAAAAGTCTTTCTCTTGCATTCAAATAATGTCTGTTTTAATGATGAAAGTTTGTAACTTTTGAAAACAAATAAATTTGCAGACTTTCCGCGTTAATTTTTATAACACCTAAAATGTAATCTGAACATAGCTCAGTCACGCATTTTAAAATGCCTTCCTGTGCAGCACATCGTTGTACTAACCGATCTGAAGACGCTAAGAGTAAAGGCCTTACATTTCACAGGTAAGGTTTGATAGATTCCTAATAATGTACGTGTTGATCTTCACTTTTCTAAAGGTACTTAGCAAATTTAGCCACTAGGAAAATTATATTCGTAATGCATTAGCTTGCGAACTGCCACGGGCAGAAATGTTAGGTAATATTTTCTATATATAACATATACGCTTGTATTACTCTTTACCACAAAAGATTTCCAGCAAATGATCCCCATAAAGTACGACAGTGGGTTATTAATATGAGGAGGCGCAGGTGGAAGCCATCGGAGAGATCGGTGCTGTGCTCCAGTCACTTCGAAGAGGAGTGTTTTGACAGGAGCGGCTCGACTGTGCGGCTGAGATGCTCCGCTGTGCCGACAATCTTCCATCCATCAATTCAAGCGAAAAAGGTAATTGACCTAATTATAACCGATATCGTTTTTTGGTTAAAATATATTATTATAAAACATAAAAAAATGTTACTGTTCATAATTTTAAAACACCCATGAAAATATGCAGAATCTGAACAATTTGTCAATTTAGTATTGATATAATTTCTTGCTGAATTAGGTTTTCTGTATTATTATTATTATTATTATTAGTTAGTTTTATTTTTTTGACCTAATGCTCAGATTTTGCGCACAGGATATATTATTTGTATATTTTTGTTAAAGAAATCATTGGTTCGAAAGAATCCCAAAGGATTAGCGAGCGCATCAGCAGAGGTAACGCCCAGCGTTAGTCCTCCAGCGACCACTTCAGCGGCTGTTAGTTTGGAGGCGACACCGGAAGCCACTCCATTAAGTACTCCAAAGGTTTATGATCACAATTACGCAGTTTTAGAGTCACCAAGGCAACTTAAACAAAAAGTGGATGTTTTGAACGAGCAGTTGGAGATCGTCAAAAAGAAATTGAAATATGAGAAGCAGAAGTCAACCAGACTGCAATTGAAAGTGTCTCGTTTAATATCTCTGGTTAAAAGTCTTAATGATGAAGGACTTTATTGATATGACAAGGACAAATTTCATAAAAGAGGTGATGTATAAATTACTTATTGGTTAATATTTCCAGTCAACAAGCTTAGAAGTTTTGTATTATTGTGTATTTGAAATGCTTTCTTGTTGGACTGAGAGGAGAGAGTGCAATGATATTCCCATGCTGGATGGTTGTTTTAGCATTTTTAGTGCCTTTAGCAACAGAATATTTATGCATTTGAGTGTTCTCTGCATTGTATTTTTAGCAACGCCGAACATTCAGAGCCACTTGTTTACTTAAAATCGTTCATATTGCACAACTGTGCTGTGACACATAGCGATTCTGGCTTTTTAAATCCTGAATGGCATCTATATTGAAATAAATGACTAAATTAGTTCAATTGAGAAAGTAATTGGTTGAGTTGAACACCAAAGTGCTTAAGCAGAACTATAATCTTTCTATACCTTAGCCTTTGACTGAGATTAGGGTCCCCTGGAGTACACTGCTGCATTTATACACTATTTCCTACTGAGTACTGTCAGCTATTTTCATTCTTAAACGTAACCAACCTAAGAGAACTGCAATGAAGTTGTTAGCAAATAAGTAAAATCTGAATAACATGCTGTGTGAAGTTTAATTCAGCTGTGAAATTTACTTCGCTGTTTTAATGTGACCGACCAAACAAACCAAATTTTTATTAAATAAATGTATGAAGGGTTTGTTATTCTTTATTGCTTTGTTCAGAATTGTGTTTTAATATAATCAACCACCCAATATATTCATATATGAATATATTCCAATATATACCAAATTTATTCCTTTAAAATCACAAAATAGTTGCCATAACTCACAGTTCAAATTCCACTAACCTTTGACATGAAAGGGCCATAATGGTATAATTCAGGTGTGATTCATGTAATTAAGAGGGACGTGTCTCATTTTTAAAATTACAAACCTTTTCTGTGACTCAGTTAATCCAATGGAAGATCATTATAGTATTTATACCTGCGGGACTGATATATGTTAAAGCTCAGCCTTTATAAGTCATTTATTAATGCATTGTTTCTTAATCTGATATTTTTTTTTTTTGCAGTTATTACACTGCAAAAAAAACACCTTTTTAGTTGAAGTGTTGAATGTGCTAAAACATTTTCCACCAGATGGTGCAAGAGGCATTAATATTACATGGTGGTGCCACGGCCGTGCGATGATGGTCCCCAGTTGTGCATTTATTTAATTTATATACTTGTGCCATAAAACAAATAACATCCTGCATGCAAGATGACATATTTTTGAATGTATTTGTTTCTTTGTAAAATAATTCAATTGTGTTCTATGCAGATGTTGAAAATCCTTTGCTGACTCCAGTTTATCTAGAGAGCATGTATTTGCAGTTTATTTTTATACTATTTGAATAAAAATGACATTATTCCTGTCAGCGTGTTTAATTCCTTCACATCGAAAAAGGAACCACAACACAAGGAATACCTTGGAATTTAATAATTTTACTGCACAGTTAAAGTTATGATTTTTAAAATGAAATATCATCTACACATAAAGGTCATCTCAACACAACACATTTTTTCCAGGTGTCATGTATGAATGATGGTGTAAAAAGGTCATTTAATAAAACTATACATTAAATGTTGCTGTCTTGATATGCTGAATTTGACAAGAACAGGTGCAAATACTGCATCACATTTGTAGCACCCATCACAAAAAATGTGCCGCAGTTGTGTCTTCTTTAACATTTGTGAGCTAATAATAATAATCGTCTTCTACTATGCTACTTTAAGTTTGTCTTTTTTAATTCAGGCTTGCTTATGGCTGTAATGGACGTGAACGCTGCACAGATGCTAAGTTTCTGACAGTGGCTGTGCTGGAGAAGAATTCTCTAGATGGATGTTGGCTCGTGTGGCTGATTTTTGTGGGTATCATATGATTTCAAACAGGTGCTTTTGTCTCGACACTATGAGATCACAATAGGACAAATTAAGGTGTTCATCATGTTTGCAGCCTAAGTTGCACGTGTACCTCATAAAATCTCAAATGACAAAATGGAAATATAATTCTTATATCAACAAGGCAGTAGATTTATAAACAAGCTACTGTATTTATGAATTAAAAAATCCATTCCACAAATATTACCATTATTACAGCAATTCCAGATGTACAGAAGGACTCAAGTTAACTCACAAAATACAGCATACACTAACTTAGAATACAAGTAAAAGTTAGTAAATGTACCTTTTGGAAGAATGCAGAAAAACACATGCACAAATAACACACGGACATGTACCACTCTATACGAAATATATTGTTCTCCAGTACTTTGTTTCCTGACGCTAACGTCACCGTGGGGGCGTTCCTGTTTTTTCCAGACCCGCCCTCTTATGGGACTGCTCGGAGTAGGAGCCAACCAGAAATCATAATTATCGCGTCAGTGGTGGGCGTGACAGAATAGGCGGAGTTAAGAGAACACCAGCAAGATGGCGGAGCGCATTGCTTACTTGCAGGCTTTTGTAATTTTACTAAAATTACGTCTGCACTCCCAGCGGCATTACATGACAGCTCTGTACATAACACGCAGACGCAGAAGGAGACTCCGGGCACGACGAATGGTATGAAAGATATGCACCTTTGTAACATTTAGTAGCGTTTTACCGATCCCGATAGCATATAGCTAGTTTCCATTTTCTCTTCTCATTTTTAGGCGCTGTTAAACAGGATGGTACGACGGCCGCATGCTGTGTGGGCACATCCACGGGCACAGCTTTGGTGGGATACTGTAGTGCCTGACTTTGATTCGGAGCAGTTTTTGCAAAACTTTCGTATGTCGAGGGAGTCATTTGATTACATCTGCCGTCGTCTTCGCCCTTCCCTTCAAAAAAGAAATACAAACTTTCGTTTGGCTATACCAGTTGAAAAACGGGTTGGCATCGCACTGTGGAAACTGGCTACCAACAGTGAATACAGAAGTGTGAGTCATCTGTTCGGTGTTGGCATTGCTACAGCTTGTCACTGTTTGCAGGATTTTTGCAACGCTGTGATCAAAGTGCTGCTCCCTCTGCACATTGCATTACCAAATGATAGAAAGTTAGTTGAGATGGCAGATTTCTTCGCTCATCGCAGAGGGACACCACAATGTGTTGGTGCAATAGACAGCAGCCATATTCCAATTATAGCACCAGAAGAATACCCTCAAGATTACTGTAATCAGAAAGGCTGGCATTCTATAATATTGCAAGGTGTGGTTGATGGAAAAGGTCTGTTCTGGGATGTGTGTGTTGGCTATCCTGGGAGTGTGCATGATGCACGTGTGCTGCAGCAATCTTATCTGTGGCAAGTGGTAAGCGATGGGCAGTTCTTCAGTCACCATAAAGTCAGTATCTCTGGACATCAAGTGGGTCACTACTTAATAGGTGACGCTGCTTACCCCCTGCAGACCTGGTTGATGAAACCCTTCACTGACACAGGCAAACTGAACGCACAACAACAGAGATTCAACGCTAGCCTCAGCAGTACAAGGGCAGTTGTGGAGACAACCTTTGGAAAACTGAAAGGTAGGTGGAGGTGTCTACTGAAAAGAAATGACTGCCATTTGGAGCTGACCAAGAAAATTGCTCTGTCCTGCTGTGTCCTGCACAACATTTGTGAGGAGCACGGGGATCAGCTTTTGGAAGATATTCAGTTGCAGGAACAGGACAAGCAGCCTCCTGCTCACATATCGACAGATCCAAGGGAAGCGGAAGGAGCCGTTGTGCGCACAGCATTAAGTGATTATTTCAACAACTGACGTATATTGATACAGCCCACATAGATGGGTATGTACCCGAACATTTTTCGGTGAAGTCCCTTTCAAAATTTCAAAACATCTCTTGCCATGGCTTTATCTCTCACCTTTTCGATTTTGTACAGCCACTAATTGTTATGTAACAGTTCAGCAATGAGAGTGAAAATGGGAAAGTTGTTGTTGCAAACATTTATTAAAATATAAATATACAGTGAACTTTGTACCTTTTTTTTCAATGTGTGTCTACACGTACAAAGTGCTATAACCAAAAAGAGAAATTTTGGTATGAAATGAGTTATGTACATGGGGCACAAAGAAGGTCTATGGGTCCTTAACCCTTCCTGCCGTGACCATCCTGTCAGCCAGCTTTAGTGCAGCATTGTTTGTCTCCTCTTGTGCTACAGCATCCTTTCCTCCCTCTCCTCTCCCCTCCCATCAGCCCTCTCCATATATTGAAGAAGATCCTTGAATGTCTTCTGCCTCCCATTTTCCTGATTGAAAGTAATTGCTTCATATCACTTTGTTTTCAAATCTAATAGTGTGCTGAATGACTTCAGGCCATCAAACATCGTACATAATGAAGACCTTGGAACGGCTTCTGCTTCATCTCCTCAGACCCCAGGCCTTCCATGCACTCAAACCTCTGCAGTTTTCTTATAGGGAGAAGGTGGGTTTGGAGAATGCCATCATCTATCTGCTTCACCAGGCTTGCTCTCATCTGAACAAGGGGAGCAGTTCTGTGAGGATCATGTTCTTCAAACTCTAGCACCTAAAACATTATCCAGCCCCTTACATTGAATGATAAGCTGACGGAGGTGAGGGTGAATTGTGATCAGTAGCCCTGGCTCACCACAGGGGACTGTGCTCCCCCCAGTCTTGTTCATCCTGTACACCTCAGACTTCAAGTATAAAACAGAGTCATGCCACGTGCAGAAGAATAGGTCAACACTGATTGTGGATTTGTAATTGTGGATTTGTAATGCTCTTCCTAATTCTCACATGATTGAGACCTCCCAGGGCCATGTATGTATTCTGCAAAACGTCATTATTTTGAGCCAATCTATGCCTGGCAATATGGGAATTTAACAGTTGTCACCTCTGTTCCAGTGGTCCCTTGTTGTGAATAACAATATCACTTTTTTATTTGACAAGTGAAGGGCACTTTCTTCACAGTTAAGTGAAAAACGTGCACCTGTTGCCCCACATGCATTTTTTTGAGCCTCAAACATATAATTTCATAAAATTTGCGTATCTCCTAAGGGGACTAAGTAACAGCTCAGTGTTTATAAACAAGCAGTACCCATATATGCATTATAAAAAATTGAGTTGTTATTCTAAGTCCTTTTTTTTTTAACCAAAGTAATAAAAATGGAATTTGTGAGATGAACTTTGACCTTGAAACTTAGACTTATGCAAAAGTTAAATCTAACTATAACATGAATTTCTTTCTCTCTCTCTTTTTTGAGCTTTCAGACATACGTTCTAGCTCAGCCAAGTAGCTGTAATAGTAAAATGAAATACAGCTCATAAAAAAATATATTTTTTTGCCTTTTGCACTGAAGAATTGGCACTATATCTCAAAGGGATTTTTGAAATCAACGAAAACATTTCTGAGCATTGTAAGGTAGGTATAATTCACATGCCAAATTATATCAAAATCAAAAATGGTAATTCAAAAGCCATTCGTTGAATTGAAACGGAATGACACTGGAAACAAAATCCCATACAGATTTTTAACTACAAAAATAACACGGTTTACCTGAAATGCTCGCCTAAAATGCCATCTGAGCACTGTAGTACTATAGTTTCAAGCCACTAGCTCTGGCTGTGTGATGTTTGCCTGTTTTGCTCATGTCATGGAAGTTTCCTCCAGCTGTGCAAAGACATGAGGTTCAGTTTATTGACATCTCTAAATTGTCCATAGTTTGATTTATGTTTGCATGTGCACTGGTACCTCATGGGGAGTCTCCCCTGCCTGGGGTCCTGCTCCCCCAGATATAAGCTTCAAGGCAATCCTGCCTGGACTAGCATCTTAGTTCTGTTTATGTCATTTGAAGAGCATCTCTCTCCTCCAGGACCAAAAATGAAAATCTGGTCCATTATGTGTGCGACCTTCGGGTTCTCACTGAGAGAATGTGGGGCTTCCTTTGAATAATCCTGTTTATTTCCCACTCTGCATGCTGGTGTCTCTCTGCTGGGCCCAGCATCCCGTACCTTGGTGCACTACTGCTGTGCACCATGCAGTGGCTCTGAAAGACAGGCTCACTTCAACCTCTTGGGAGCATTGGTTTGCGAGACCGAATGGGCGAGTGTAGCATCTGGGACGACTCCATCTGGACCAGCTTAAGGATGTGCTAAAAGCATTTTGCTGGACCTTTTCCCAACCCACATGGGAATTTCTAGTAATGCAGGCAGCTGTAAATCTAAAAGAGTGGGCACTCACTTCTGATGTGGTGTGGTCAAGTGACATAAACAGCCTCCAGCTCAGCTATATTTATTGCCATTGAGGTTTGTCTTACTAAAATAAAGCTTAAATAGAAAATAAATAATGTCTAATAAAAGTAAACATCTGTAAATATTTCAAATGAATCCTCTTTAATCATGAAAATAGTAAAACAAATTCTATTTAGGACTGGTTAATTTAGGAATGATTCATTTAGGAATTATTCATTTAGGAATGATTCATTCAGCATCCTTCTTTCATCCATTTATCCTGGAAATGATCGAGGGGCGTGTAATTGGCTAACAATTTGACATGAATTCACTGAGTGAGCTGAGTTGTGAACAATGACTGATCAACTACTCTTACCATAATGTCTTTATATTTGCTTATTAGAATTAAATTGGCCTTGATTGAGTTTACCACTGAAACTCTTTCTTTGTTCTTATCCCAAGAATCCAAACTGTGTCTAAATTGTGCTGAACAGTATTTTAGTTTAAAGATCAATGGGATGAAGTAACCAACACTTACACAGAAGGCAATACCTTAACTTGTTAAAAGTGTTGTGTAATTGATATCAAGTGTGATCTGTTGCGGGAAGACTTTATTTTCATTCAAACAGAACTGTATTTTAAGCTGTAATTTTTTTCTGTTAATTCTCTAGAGACAACCATTTGTAATTTACTGGGGAGTAACTAGACCATTTGGGTTCTGTAAATGGATTACATGGTTTCATAAATAGCTACTGACGAGTACAAGTATCACAGAGCTGTTAGTTGTGCTACTAGAATGAGTGGTCAAAAGATGTTCTTATAGACTGAATGCAAGTACACACATACAGTGGACCCTCGAGTTGCAACCGGCCTGATATATGAACACCTTGGGTCACAACCAAGTTTTGACTTACAACCAAAGTCTTCAGTTACGACCCGAATGCCGGTGGAGGCCAAAACATGTGTCCGGTTGTGAACAAAGAGCTGAGATGCCCTAGAGGTGCCCAAAAGCGTCATTCGGTCAGTGCAGTGCTTTAAATAGTTAATTTCGCTAATTGCTATCAAAATGGCCTCCAAAAAGCTAGAAAAAACAGCTAAGGAAGGAAGAGAAGGTAAAGAAAGCAATCACAATCGAAACGAATAAGGAAATTGTGCAGATAGATGAGTGGCGTTCGTGTGATTGATCTCGCTAATATGTTCAGCATGTCGAAATCCACCATCTCGACAATCTTACAAAGAAAAGATTTGTATAAGGATTAAGGAAGGTAGTGTTGCTAAAGGTGTACCTCAAATTAGTAAGTCACGATGAACAGAGTTAGACGAGGTAGAAAGGTTATTATTAGTGTGGATAAATGATGGTGAGCACACTGGTAAAATTATTGGTGTTTCTGGTATATTACGCACGTTATACATCTCTTTTTATTATGAAAGGGTTAGGAAGGGGTGCTGTGGAAGGTTCGCAACGCATTATGGGTATTTCCGTTATTTCTTATGGGGAAAATAGTCTTGACTTACGACCAACTTGAGTTACGACCAGCCCTCGCGAAAAAATTGAGTTCGTAAGTCAAAGGTCCACTGTTAAGATTGTGATGATCCTGAGACAGACTCCATGTTCACTGTGGCCAGTAGGGGGCATTAGGGAGCCAAAAAATGTTGGTGCCTGTTGGTAGAGCTCCTGCTGTTGTACCGTTACGGGTATTTTAACTGATTTTCTACATTAACAACATCCATGCACTTGTCTTCCAGCCGCCAGATACAGGGTCCTGGGGAAGCCATTGTCCCATCTCTCCAGTAATACCCGCTTGTTTAAATGTTTGTGTTTCTACATGAATTAATTTAATCACTACTACTGAACTTTAACGTATATACCTACTGCAACCTTTCTAAACGGTATTCAGTTTTTTTCAGCAAAGGATAATTAAATCATTTTCTCAAAATGATTCTTAGTCTGATAACTGCTTTAAATGTTCAGTTAAAATCAAGTTTAGTATTTTGCAATTCGTCCCATTTATTCTAATACTCACTCCTTGACACCTACCATGTGTATTTCATAATTCATGATAATTATTAATAAATTAAAAATGTATTCTCCCGTGTTCCTGTATTATTTTCAACTTGCAGAGAAATAAATTCGGTTTCAGCAGATGTTCTGCCCAACAGAAAAAGTGCACTTGCTACACTGCGGTTAAATACAAATTAAAGTCTGTGTTTGTATCGTTTTAAGGAGCGAGTGAGTTTTCTCAGACGGCATTTAAAACTGTTACTAGTGTCGGGGTCATTATCGTCCAGGTGATGAATGGCAAAGTGATTGTCCTTTAGCCTACTGACGGTCTCTGCAACTCTGCAGTCGGATAAGTTAACAAAAAAAGAAAGAAAAATATTAGACTTTTAATGGGTGTGTCTTAACCTGCGGGATTCTTCTTCATTATAGCCATTTTAAGGAGGCGATTGCGGTGTCATTCTCTTCCTTGACAAACGAAGAGGTCTGTCACCACTTAACACGCAGGCTAAACGAAACGCACGCATTTCCCCAAAGAGCTTTTTCTGAAATCTATGGACAAGTCACAAAAATCAATGTTTTATCCCGCGGTGGCAAAGCACAACACGGCAATACTGGACTTCTGACTGACACTGTTTTTCCTTTATGGATCGATTTCTCAGCAGCTTAAATGATATTTTCAAAAAGGAGATGTTGATACTTTAATGTGACTTTTCTGAAGATTATATGTTTTAACTCGTCGTCAGCATTTCACTAATGCTGAAATCTGTAAAGTTCTCTCAAAGGCATCTCTCTGCAACTTAGCAATGGGACGCAACTCGGCTGCTGTAATTCTCGTTTTCATAATTAACGGGATCTGCGCGTTTCGTCCTGGAAGAAACCTTCAGCCTGACATGTAAGTAGGTCACTTAAGTTGTTTTATGCTTCTTTTAGATTGCCCGTGCATTCTTAGAATTTTCGTCATTCATTTTAATTTGCACTTTTAAATCATATTTTACATTGCATGGCTATTACAAATCCTTCCATGTAAGTCTATAGGTGTAGTTTCCGATGCTTTTAGTATAATTACCAGGTCATTACTCTGAGGGTGACGATACATAATGTTGCCGGTGTTCTGACGTTTTGACATATAGGCTACTTCAGAATAGTATAGGCTACTGGTAGTGCAAATTTATTGCTACATCAATGCTCTGTCATACTTGATCAAAATAGCATACCTGCATATTTTAAAGAGGGTAAAATAGTCTGATAAGAAAATTTACGATGCCAAAATAAGCTATGTTTTTAACAGAGGCCAGGTGCCCTAATAAGGAAATTTACCCAATCAACATAGAATACCTATAGTTTTTAACAGTGGTAACCCGTTCTGATAAGGAAATACAAGCTATCAGACCAACATAACTATAGTTTTTAACGGTATAACTACACGTAACTACACTATAACAGTATAACTACGCGTATTAACACGTATACTTGGCAAACCATTTCTATTTGACCACAAGTTTGCTGGTCTATGTGCTGCCCCCTGCAGGCCCAATGTGTGCGCTGCCCGACAGCTGACACTGGTGGCCCAGACGCAGCCCTGCGTCCAGGCCATCGTGCGCATGGTCAAAGTGCAGCATCAGGGATGCGCAGGACAGGTGTGGTGTGTCGGCTACAAGAGGAGGTGAGCCCCGTCTGTGAGTGTGTGTGACACGGCCATCCGCTCACCAGGCCGTCTACTCCGTCTCACTCCGCTTAGTCATGATGATTTGAGAAGGAAAACACTCTGTGAATCACCCAAAACGAACACAAAAAACCTGAAAACTGCAATTCTGCTTTTCTAAAACAAAAAAAACAAGTAAGCAAAAAATTTCCACAGCTGTAGACCGTTATATCTGTTTAGGACTTGAAATAATTGTAAGTATTTATTCTGCAAAAAAAAAAAAATGTGTTTTGCAGTAAAAGGTCTAGTGTGTAAAAAAGTCACATCTCTACCTTCCTCCCCCATGTTTACACTGGCAACCGAATCCTGGTCTGAATCCGACTCCTGTTCCCATCCTGAGACTGAAGTTAGGAGCAGAATTGGTTGGGTGGGTTAAAATACATTTCAGCTGTTTGCCGCACGCTTAAGAAATGGCAGCAAGCTTCAGTCATGGCTCAGATTTGCAATGCAGAAATTTTGGGAGGGGAGAGGGGGGTTAAAAAGATTATTGCGAACAATTGTTCGAGTTGAGCGGCCGGGGATGTGCTCACGGACCCGTGCCAGGGAAATCAAATCCAGAGCCTGCTGGGAGATGAGAAAGATGGAAACCCAGGATGGAAATTGATCTCTTTGTTGGGGGACAATTATTAGAGTTCCCATCCACAACCCCCACTTTGGATCAAAGGAAAATTAAATTCTTTCGAATGATCACAGCGCTGGGACCAACACTGAGAACTTACAGAAACCATTTAATGAACAGCGTGACACTTGGGAGTTGGAGGGAAATAGAATTAACAAGCAGTCCTCTAATTGGTGCAGGCGTGGGTCAGTTCTGAGAGTGAGTGGAT